AATAAATATTGTTAAGAAAAAAAAATTTTATTATTTGCTATCATGATTTGTTCAATAAATAGAATTTTGTTAAAAGTACATTATGTAAAATGTGGGTTTTAAATTTAAACCAGTCAGAGAGACACTATGAAAAGAAGGATGAAGGTTTTATTTGTCGAAATGGCAACTATTTGGGGTGCTCAATGCATTTTAAATCAATAAGTCAGTAATCAGTGAAAATTAATTTGGTAGTTTCATTGCAATAAAAAAAGATGGTCAAGACCATAGAAAATTGTGCTGGTTGGCTAAAATTTATCTACAATTTTGTATTATGAATCTTCAAAAAATTTCGTAAAGATTACTTCAATTAATTATGGTGCTTGTGTATGATCTCGATACTAACCAAACACAACAAGAAAGATGTTTGAGAAATTCCTTGGTTAGTTTATTCAAATTCTGAATAATTACAACTTTGATTGAGTGAGGAATTTGATAACACCTTTAATCAACCTAGTTGTATAATACATAATGAAACCAAACAGTATACGTTGAATTCATAGAATATAATAGTAAAGGCTTTGTTACCACAAAATGGTAATCCGGTGACTAAAACAAGCAAACGCCAACATTGATACAATCACAATCGAAGAATTGTACAAATTATATCCCAATCTACCATTTGTGTATTTAGAAATTTCGGTAACATCAATCTGGAGTTATACAAAATTACACCCGATTTTGTCACTTTACTTCACGGCTACGGATGTATGATTGGATATATTATACTAAATTTTGTTGGCATATTTGTTAGAATTGGCGATTCACACAAATTCGTTATATTGATTATCTTGATTTATTTTACTATATCCATATTAGTAACATTATCATTATTTATACCTTTATATTTATTCTACAAAATTGTAAACCAACCCGAATCGATAGCTTGTCTAATTAGTAGTATCTAATAAAAGAGTAAACTCATATTATACATTATTTGTATCGTATATACATTTAGCCGTGGCCTCTTTTATAAAGAAAATCACTTAAATCCCCTTAACACATAACTGCATTAAGCACATGTATTATTTTAACATATACACGGTCATTGTTATCAATCGCATACAATAATCGTAAATAAATTCGTTGTCCTTAACTTATAAGAGGTAATTTGGGTGTAACACCGGACGTTGTAAAAGTCAAATCCCCAATCCCAAAAATACAATTGCTATTTATAAAAAATTAAATCAAGAAAAGTAATCTTAAAATTTTGCAGAGCTATAAATATATATTTGAATTGTTTGAATAAAGATTATTAATAGGATTTTTAAGATATGAGTTTGGTCGGAGTTTGGGTTTGGGCGCACCCAAACCCAAATTATAATAATTTGGGATTTTGCCAACATATATATGTAAAAGGGTAAATCGTGGCTGATAAAAATTTTTTTTAAATAATAGATTAGATGCATATTTACTGATGAATGCGGCATATTTATTCGATATAAATTTGTACTTGGTTCAAATTTGTATCCAATCTAAGCTGGTTCGAATTTGTGCCTGGTTCAAATTCGTGCCAAGCTAAGCTAGTACCATTCGTCTAAGCAGGTACAATTTTATACCATATCGTTCATCTTCCAAATTTGTAAGAATATAGAGTATAGAGAATATAGTAGAAGTAGTTTAAAAACGAACACAGCCATTATGTATGCAGTAATGGTCTAAAAATATATAAGACCCATATTTTCGCTTCAATAAAGACAGACTCGGATAGAATCAAGTAGAGTGAAGCTCAGTTCAATTTCGAGTTGAACTCAGTAGAGTTCAAATACACATTCGTATAAGTATTCGCTCTGATTCTCTGATACGTGAATTGTATAATCCCTAAATAGAGCCTCGTGACGTAATCTAGATCTCTATTCGACCTTAATAACTTGGACAAAGTCTCCCGCGCCTTTTTCTTAATTTCCATATTAAAGTTTAGATAGAGTTTTGTAGTTTAGAGTATTGTTTTAGATTAATTTTTATCACACATCTTTCCCGATTCCGGATCAGTTCCCACTTTCACAACGTGCAGATCATTGTGAAATGGTTATCGTTGAGGTAACGTAACCACAATATTTATAGAATAGTGTTAAAATACTATGTATGCTGATGTACCACCGGTATAAATTAGGTTATATTGTTGACCGGTTAATTATTTTGTATAACCCAATGTATGTATATAATAAACATACACAGTATTTGTGTGGTGTATTAATATCTTTTTTTTACATAAATCAAAATGTCAAATGAAGATTTGATAAAAATAATCGATGATTTAAATCAATTAAATTTCACTAATTGCCGAAAATTGGCAGCACATAGTGTGTTTTGGCTCGGGTATTGTTACGAATATGGAATTGAAACTGAAAAGGATGAAAACAAGGCATTCACATATTATCAAATATCGGAAGACATGAATGATTCTAACGGAATGTATCAAGTTGGCTATTGTTATTATTTAGGAATTGGAGTTGAGGCAGATAAGAATAAAGCATTTACATATTATCTGAAGGCTGCCGAGGCAGGTAATTCTATGGGAATTTGGAAAACTGCCATTTGTTACAGGCATGGAATTGGCGTGAAAAAAAGCGAAAATAAATACAAAGAATGGTTTAAAAAGTGAGTTTATTTTTTAGGTTTATTATAATGTTTGTTTGTAGTTTATTTAAAGAAAGATTTCTTACACAATTTAATTATCAGGGAGTAAGCATAAAGAACATTTATTTATCTATTTATCAGCAATTTAAGCTCATAATATTTATTATGCTATTTTAGTCCGTAAGTATAAAGAATATTTAATAATTTGACGAAATAAAAACAGCAAAACAAGTTCATAAAAAAAGAATATAAATGCTTATTCATCATTACGTACAAATAATTTCATTTAGCATGTGAGTATAAACTGCAAAAAGCTCAAAACAAGAACATAAATACTTATTTACCATTATGTACAAATCATTTCATCAGCTCGTAAGTATAAAGAACATTTATAAGTTTACGAATAAAACAGCAATCTAAATCTACAAAACAAGAACATAAATACTTATTTACCATCATTTTATTCGCGTGAATTATTTCATTCAGCAAGTGAGTATAAAGAACATTTAATAATTTTATGAGATAAAAACAACAATCATAGTTTACAAAACAAGAGCATAAATACCCATTTACAATTGCATACAAATCATTTTATTCATATTAATCATTTCATTTAGCGTGTGAGTATAATGAACGTTTAATAATTTACGAAATAAAAACAGCAAAAAGTTCAAAATTAATACTTATTTACCATTATGTACAAATCATTTTATTAAGCATGTGAGTATAAAGAGCATTTAATAAAAACAGCAAAACAAGTTTACAAAATAAGAACATAAATAGTTATTTATTCGCATTAAACATTTCATTCAGCGAGTGAGTATAAAGAACATTTGATAATTTTACGAAATAAAAATAGCAAACCAATTTCGCAAAACAAGATTACTTATTTGCCATTACGTCAAATCATTTCATTCGTATTAATTTAGGCTGTAAGTACGAAGAACGTTTAAAAATTTTACAGCAAATATAAATTTAAAAAAAAAATAAGAACATAAATACTTATTTACCATTACATATAAATCATTTCATACATATTAATTTAGTTCGTGAGTATAAAGAACATTTAATAAGTTTACGAATAAAAAAGCAGACTAAATTTACAAAACAAGTACAAAAATACTTATTTACCATTACATACAAACATTTCATTCAGTCGGTAATATAAATTTATTTACATTCGATATAAAGTTTAAAACCGCAGATACGAAATAAATCATTATATGTTATATATAGATATCCTAAATACGGAAAATGTGCACGTTGTAAAAAAAGTAACACGAATCCCGCATGGTGTCTATCATGTGACCCTGATATAACAACAAGGTGGACAATAAGAATTAAGGACATTGACTATTGCATAAAAACTTTTCAACTTAGAGCCTTAAAATATGATTATGTGATTGAATGGATTCCATTTGATAGATTATCAAATATTAAAAAAATCGGTGAAGGAGGATTTGGATCTGTATATTCAGCAATCTGGTTAGATGGTATACGAAAAATAGATGGCACAGATTATAATTATGTAAGAACACGTGAGCCATCTAGCACCGTTGCACTCAAGACGTTGGCCAGTTCTGAGGAAAACAATTTTGATTTTTTAAAAGAAGTAAGCTAATTTATTATAGAATAATTTATCTAATAGTGTTGAACTAATTTATTGTCTAAACCTTAAGTTTAAGAATCATATGAAATGTAATTTAAACTTTAGTAAGCTCGCAGTTTATGGAATTACCAAAAACACCGAAACAAAAGAATACTTGATGGTATTTCAGTATGCTAATAATGGGAGTCTTTATAAGTTTTTAAGAAAAAATTTTAGTATACTTACATGGCAAGCTAAATTGCAAATACTTAAAGATATTTCATATGAGTTATATAATATTCACTACTTTGCAGGATACATTCATGCAGATTTTCATAGTGGCAACATTTTACAAGACAAGCCCACTAATGAAAATACACATTCATATATCGCAGATCTTGGATTGTCTAGAAAAAAAGATGAAAGTGTTTCAGAAGGAGAAATTTATGGAGTTATGCCATATGTTGCACCAGAAGTTTTATCAGGCGAGCAGCAATTTACACAAGAAGCAGATATTTATGGGTTTGGTGTTATTATGGCAGAAATGTCAACTGGGCAAAGGCCTTTTGATGGACATAAATTTGACCATTGTCTTGCAGTCAAGATTTGCAAAGGATTGCGACCAGTGTTTGCACCTGAAACTCCTAAATGCTATATCGAATTGGCTGAAAAATGCATGAATTCTGATGCACTAAAACGGCCTGAAGCTTACGATATTTATGAAACAACAGCAGAAGAATGTCTAAAGATGAAATAACCATTGGAATCAGTAAGAAATTTGAATCTGCTAGTGCAATAATTTCAACATATCAGCAACTTTTACAAACTCATCCTGAAGCCATATATGCTAGTCAACTTCTCAGCTTTGAAAATCTTCCGAAACCAGTCATTTCAATAATAAGCAAGTCATATTTGCACTTATTATTTTTGTAGAGATTAGATAAAAATTTAAGGAAGTTAATTTTTCGATGTGCTATTATTATCTCGATATAGAGATTGAGGTTTTAAATTTCCTGCATCGTATAGAAGTTGCCTGATCGCAGCTATCATATTATCTTTATATAAAATTTTTTATATATCTTTTTTTTATATTTATACAAAAACAGTTAATGTTTTATGAGAATCAATTAATTCATTTTGCGTGGCCATACCATACTAATAATTATTTTTACTTTATTTTTTTATTTTATTTTTTAAACTATTACAAATTAAATATTTAGGCTGCTGTCAATAAAATCAAGCAGATTAACATTTCAATACCTTAACTTTGCTCATATGGAGTCTTTGCCTTGAAAATGACCTTACGGTGCTATGTAGATTTTGTGAATAAAAATAAAAATTTTAGCTATCTAATAATCCAATTCGAATAAATTTTTTATATTTTTTTAAATTGGATTACTGGATAGTTAGAAATTTTAGTCTCGTAAGGTCATTTTCAAGTCAAAGATCCCATGTCTTGATATAGTTAATATTCAAAAGAAAGCTTAAATATTAAACTTTCTTTGAACTAGTAATCATCAAAATAGCTTCAATATTCATCGAGATATGAGCTGTGAAAGTGGGTATTAAATTTTTTTAAATGTCAATCTGCTAGATTTCTATTGACGACGGCCCATTTTACTTGCATTTTATTTTCAAATTTTATTATTCACAATTAACTAGGTGCTTGAGTTGCTTAAAAGGAGTTAGAGATAAGTGTACTATATCTGAAATTGTATTATGCAGTATAAGGACCTCATGTTATGATTAGGCTTCATGGCTGAGATAGCAATGCAAGGACATCATGTTGTGATTAAGCTCTATGTCTGCCGCAATCAATGCAAGAAGCTCATGTTTAGTGATTGAGCCCCCATAAAAAAAAAATCCAAATTTTTTCAGATTTTACTCAGATTTTTATTACGAAAAATGCTCATTTTTTAAAATAATAATCTAAACAAAATCTGAATAGAATTTTGACTTTTTTTTTATAAGTCCACTAGAGAGTGGAATCGATGAGTTTCAAGAATTGGTTGATCACAAACTCTAGAATTTCGAGCATCGGTAAAAAATTTTGACCAATGTTCGAATGTTTGTTGAATCATTAAAAAATTTAGTGTAACATTTATCAGTTGTTCTGCTATCATTTTTAATATGCAGTATAATTTATCAATTATACTGCTATCGCTATATAATTTAATATAAATTTCTATGACTTGCAATTTGCTGTTTTGCATTATAAAACAACCTTATACTAATCCTAGATCTCAG